AAAAAATGAAGATACAGAACATAAGTACAGCTCCTCTGCTCTTGACTGGATCACAATGGACACAAATATTGCCTACTGGCTCCACCCGACCTCTGGTGTAAGTATGAGGTAGAAGGAAACGTGAACCTGGTGAAGGAAGTTCAGGTGTGAGCTCCTTGAGTGTGAGGGAGAGTAGGGCTGCAGTTCCAGCCAAGGAGCTGCTCCAGGATGCTTCTAGTACAAAGAATATATTTTCCCTGAAGGCTGGGGTTTTTTTGGCATGTGATACAGCTTTGACGTTAGTTGCTTTTAATTAAATCGTGTCTTCTGCAGTTTAATCGTTTCCATTATTGATTCCATTTACAAGATGCATTCATCTCCAGTAGCATCTTTTAAATGCTGTACATTACAACAGAGTCTCCAAGCAACAAAGTTTATCAGCTTGCTTTGTTCCAGGAAAGATCAGGTTACTAGCTAGGCACATGCTGAAGTTTAATTTAGCAAATCTGTATCAGTAATACTTAAACTTACCTAGAAGAACTGCAGCATGCAGACCATCTTCTATTCTGCAGGCCCAAATCCATCTCCTTGGGAATGTTGTCACCTGGGCTTCAGCTAATGTTGCTGCTCTGGTCTACACATGTCTGTCCCTGTGGTACTTGATACGCCGAAGAAGAAAAATCTACGACATTCCCGAAGGTCTGATTCCATGGTGTTTGTGTGTGTGGAGACAGGAGGGGGGGGGGTTGTCACTTGTTCTGCTACACTTCAGTGGCCCCAAAGCCCCATCTTTACAGTGATGTGCGTGGCTATACTACCACTTTTTCCTGCCCACTAACCTTGACATTTTTATTAGGGACACACAAACATCTAGAGTAGCCCATGAAGAGAGTGATTATGGTCATCACAATATGACCATCACCTTATGTGACCAGATAGTATAATATTTATTTGAATCATTCCCTGAATGTAAGAAATCTCCAGGTATCCAGTTTGGATTCTACTGAGGCCTTTTGTGATTATGTAAAAGATGTAGATACTGGCTGTGTAGGGAGAGGGTTATTTTAGGTGTGTTGGTTCCACCCAAGGTACCATCTCCTCTGTGTGGCCAGGCAGTTTTACACTGACCTTTCTGGCAGTACATTTTGTTCTCCTGCTGTGAAACTGCTGCATGGTGGCTGTAATCTGTCTTTTCATAAAAATGTGACAGAAAGTAACCATTTTCCACTCAGTTGAGTGTAGTTAAGTTAAAGGTTGTTATTAGCACAAGCTGTGCAGAGGGAAGAAAAATACCCAAACCATGTAAGTGGGTGACCTTTTAGGTTTTAAGGTTTCCAGAGGCAATGCTTTGAGCTGGTGTCTCCTGTCTCCTACAGATGCATGGCAGCTGTGGGTATCAGCTGGGGGGATCTGTGTTGGAGGCTGGGCTGTGAATTACCTGCCCTTCTTCCTGATGGAGAAAACACTTTTCCTGTACCACTACCTGCCTGCCCTCACATTCCAGATTCTCCTGATTCCCATCGTATTACAGCATCTTGGCAATCATCTCTGCAGGTATTTGATTTTAACAGATAGATCAACAGCAGCAGTGATGCATTTCTTTGCTCCAGGCTTGTCACCCTGGCAAGCTGCTGCAGTGATTTTTTTTTCCAGCAGTGGCCATACTTTGGCATTTGCTTGAGCAAAGATGGGCCACATGTAGCTCTTCCTTTTGGACAAAGTGTTTGGCTAGCTTTGATGTAACCTGACTGCTCATCCCAGATGTCTGCTTCCCTCTCTCATCCCAGATCTCTGCTTCTGAAGAGCATGTTCAGTGCATTGGTTGTAGCCTGGTTCTCTTCAGTTTACTTTGTCTATTGCACATTCCGTCCTGTGACCTATGGGGAGCCCTCGCTGTCTGTGACTGAACTGAAGGACTTGCGCTGGAAGGACAGCTGGAACATCCTTATCCGAAAACAGTAACGGTTACAATCTTGTTCAGGCAAAAAGAAACACCTTTTTATGCAAAGACAAGAATTTATTGTTAGCATAATTGAAATCTTAACAGTCTGATCAAATAATTGATGGCAGTCCAGACCCAATTATTACAGAAAAAGAAAATAAAAGAATACTGCTACCAAAAAACGTTTCAACAGTAGTTTAGCTGTGATGAACTCTACCCCTGCTACTTTCACCCTTCCACTGCCCCTCGGGTGTGAACGTTGGTGACATCAGTCAACTGCATCCCAGCTGGGAAGAGTATCCTGCAAGCACTCCTTCTTCCTCTTTCCTGGGAGTATGATGTTGATGGTTTCTTCTTTCTTGCACTATGCTTCACTTTGGGCTATTCTATATATTCCCTAGTGCCTTGGTCTGCAATGCCATGTTATGTAAATAGATACTCTCCAACATACTTTTCTGTTTTCTTTGTTCCTCCTAAAAACTGGGTTTTCCCAGCTCCCAAGTTAACACATCTTTAACTATCAGTAACTGGCCCTGCAGCTTTCAGCATCATCCCATGACTATATTCCTCAACAATGCATTATCTGCCCCCACTTTCAATGCTCTGATATCATCCCTATTTCATTAGCATTAAGCTGAGTTTATAAATAATTCATTCTGCATAAAATAATGACTTGTTACTTTTGTCCATGTATAATCATTTGGCATAACCAGAATTTTTATGAAGCTAAGCAAAAATAAAATAAATAGACAATGAAAAATAGTGGCCTGTTGCAAGCCACAGCAGTAATGTAGCTACTGGACTGCAGGGTTACACCTCAAATCCCACAGGAAGAGGAACTCTAAGCAATGAAGAGCTGATCATGCTGACGAGGAAACTTGTACACATGGGTTTAGGGTAAAAATGTAGGTAACTCGGGCCATGCCCTGGCCTGCAGCACCAGAGGTATTTCCAGGGTAGGAGAAGGTGCAAACAAAGGACTGGGATTGCTGAGTGAGGAATTTGCAATAGCTCTGTACAGATACTCAACAAGGGTTCTCGTACCTACGCCACATTTGATATTTTTCTTTTTTTTTTTTCCTCTCTCATGTGGCTGCAGTAGCAGGATCTTGCAGTCAGCTCAGAGCTGACCAAGAAGAGCAGCCCTAGACAGACCAGGCTGCTTGTTGCTGTACAGTTCCTTACTGCTCTAACAAATGAGGCTGCTTTGAGCTCCTTGCCCCCTCCAGAGGAGGGTATGATCAACCACCACAGTCATTCGAAGCAGATTTTAGTGACTATTTTGCTCCTACTTCAATCAGCCCCAGTAGCTATTGCTCCAGTGCAGTAGCTTGTACTCCAAGTCTGTCACTCTGAGCTGAACAGCGCCCAGCAGCAGCTGGGAAATGAACTGCTTTCTCCTCGGCATTACAGAAGTGTACCCCTGAACTGTGGAGACCACCAGTCAATAACAAACCTTTACAGATTTCCAGTGTTGAAAAGACTACAGGGATGAAAGTGCAGACTGCTTTTTTTTTTTTAAAAGTTTCTTTTTTCTCTAACACTTCAGCCATTACAGAACTAAAGCTAACAACCCCCGAGTTAAGGGGAGAAAGAACTGCTGAGTATAAAAGCATCTCCAGACTTGTTCCCTTTCTGTACCTTTGTGCTGGTGTAGTGCAAGTAGCACAAATACCTTTTATATAAAATGGTCATTTTCACTGACTATTTCTTCCTTTGTTTATTAGCCAAAGTAACACACCCACAACCAATGCAGCCAGACTCTGGTTTTAGAAAACTAGCAAATATGAAAAAGTTCCTCTTCATAATATTTCCTCCCTCCACTCTCATTCTTAAAATTACACCATAAGTCCAGACTCGAGGAGTGTATCACAAGGACATTTTTCAAAGGCCCAACCAGCATTTCATTTCAGATTTTTCTTTTTCTTTCCAGAACCTTCATGCTGCTGCAGTATCACTTATCTGGGTGAACTACAAATGGGATGTCACTATACTTCAGCTTCTCCTTTGCATTTTTTAGAAAACATGACATTCTTGAAATTAAACCACCCAAGTGCAAGGCAAGCACTTTGACCCTGTTTGAGGGTCGAAGTGCATGCAGAGAGCAGTTTGTGCCATCAGGAGGGTCTTGCCCTTCACAGCTTCCCCCCCCCCCCCCTTGCTGATCTTACCACCCAGCTTGGGAAGTGGACAGATTCCGCCCAGCAGAATCTGCAACCAGCAGTACAGAAATGCCCTAAAAGACACTAATACTGACAAAGTCAGGTTCCTGTTTCCATGAGCAACTCAATCCAGTTGGAGCTCACACATTCAATAAATTGTAAAGGAAACTATTTGGGTACCAAAATTAATCATACAGTGGAACAAGGTTTGGGAGCTTAGAAAGGAATAAATTAGGCACCAGAATCACACAACTTCTTGGGCCTGTCCCCCCACCCCGATGAACTGCAAGTTCCCAATTGTCCCAGACAGTCTCTGTTTCATCTCTATCCCAGGGGAGAGATTCCTCTACAGGTCAATCCTTCTGCCCTCACATGCTACTAGAGGCTAAAAAGGAGGCTGGACAGCAGGAGAGCCAGAACTCAAGGTCCCAGCAAGGTAGAGAAGAGTAAGGACTGCACCTGCCTGTCTACGTTAACAAGATGTGAGCTAGTCTTGGATAAAGAGACTGATTTTTCTTTTGAAAAAACCAAGCAGCTGATTTTTCTGCTGAGGAAGACCATCATCAGGGAAATGGGGTAACTTGCTAATCACCTGGTAGCGCGTAATCTTCAGGGGAGACTTTGGCATTAGGTCTCATTTGGAAAATTAAAAAAAAAAGGCAAGTAGCACTACCTTTAACCAGTCCATCGAGTAACATCGTAACTCCAGACATGGCAGGGAGAGAAGGGAGGGGTTTTGGAGGGGAGAGGGGCAATAGGCCAATTCCTTCCTCTCCCCTCTGCGAGAAGTTTCACACCAGTACCCCCTCCACCGCTGGGATGATTTAAAGGGCACTTCACCAACCATTCTGCTGGAGTCCTTTCCCAAAGTTGTCTTCAGCATCAGTCTGGACCAGAGGCAAATCCCTCAGACAGGTTTAGTGTGGACGGCTGCTGGACTCCAGGTGGGAGCGTTTGCCGGCCGCCAGCACGCTGCTGCTCTCCGTTTGTTCAGGGAATGGGCGCTTGTAGGTCCGACCGTGTCCGTTCATTGCCCCTCGCTGCCACTTGCAGATGTCTCCGTTTAGGATGTCTTGAATGTGCTGCACTATCAGGTTTATAGCAACTGCAGAGAGAAATGGGAAACAGAGGACATGTAGGCTTTCTTGGCTGAGCTAGCTAGAAAATTCAGCTTTGTTCAGCTCAAATTTTAACAACAAGCCCTTAAATGAAGCTAACCCTGCCCTCTCTAGCGAGGTCAGACCTCCAGAGAAACCAGCAACTGCAGCACCAGCTTGAACACTGGTGTCCTGCTCTGTATCTCCAAGTGTGTGTCACTTTTTCCAGCTCTCCACAGGCTGAGCAGCTGATCAGCCCAGTCAAGCTCTGAGCAGCTCCCTCCCCTACAACCCTCCAAGCAAAACACCTTTCCTCAGAAGCATGAAAACAAGGCAGTGGCATGCCACCTGCTCTCTTCTCAACCCTAAAGGTGGTCTCCCCAGAGAAATCAGAGAACCAAAGTCCCTTTTACCCATGTTGTCAACTCCTCGGGGGATAATCACATCTGCATACTTCTTTGTCTGTAAAACAGAAACGGTGGAGACCGTTAACAGGAAAAGCCAGCTTTATTCTAGGCAGAAGCTACCCAACACCAGAAAGCTGAGGGCAAAGATGGAGGGATTTCTACACTCTGGGACTGTAATTAAAGCTCTTTGTCATGGTAACACTTACATGAATTCAGAAGTCATACTGGCTAACATGGACTTAAGATCAGGGCTTGTTCTTGGTGCCCCTTTGCAGTGAATCACCAGGTAGAAGCAGTAGGTCAAGCTTTTACACTTCTGAAGGGTACACTGCCTTCAAATGGTCACCTGCTTCAAGGCTGAGGTCTGTTTGCTAAGAGCTGGTTCTAATCAGCATTTCACAAGCCATTGCTAAATCTCTGCTGAGAGCCAAGGTACCCGCTGTGCATGTGAAATTCCTTCCTGCCTCTGATGACATTTTATTGATTTTTACCACCATAGAGCCCCTGGCTTGGTGTGTGTGTGTCCCCCCCACACTTATAAAAAGTTGGCAAATTCAGCATTTCTAATGAGTACTTTTACAATCCCAGAATTGCTTTGATCTAGTGCAAGAGGCACCTGAGCCAGCCTTTTCCATCTTATTTAATCCACATACAGGATTTTGTTCTCAAAAGGTTTTTACAAATTAATTTGATTACATGAGCATCTAAATTGGCCCCACATTATAAGGCATAGCAAGCAGATGCTATAACGGTCTGCCCCAGGTTTTCACCAGTGTTCCCTGTTAAGAGTCTGCTGGAAACCAAGCTCTTCTTTCTTCCTGCAAGACTTAAGAATAACTGCAGAGTGGGAGTGTTTCGGTCAAAGGGACCCATGATAAAATAGCCACAGCAATGAGCAGTGAGAAAATGTGTGCAGCCTCTAGGGATTTCCATGGTGCTTTGCAAGCAGAAGGGACCAACCAGTTTAAGTTCCTTAAAAAAGCAGCTTGCAATGGTTGCAGAGATGAGGCAGAGGGGAGAGTGTGGGACCCGTGAAATATGAATATCAAAAGCCACCACTGCTGCATCAACAGTGCAGCAAATCCCCAGGTGACCCTGCTCCTTCTCTCCCCCCAAAAAAAACCCACAAATCAAATTAGTGAAACATTTAGTACCGGCAAGCAGAACTCCTCAAAGGCAGGCTTGACAAACGTGGTGTACTGGGTGAGGATCTGCTCAAGGTCCCTCCCACGTTTCATATCTCGCAGAACTGGAATGGGAAGATAAAACCCATGAGTTTCACCACACAGTGGAGGATGTGGATAAGGAACACGAGCCGGCTGACGCTGCCTGTGACGGCAGAGCAATACCTCTGCGGGACAGCCGGACGTCAGAATCTGTGTCCACAAAGAGCCGGAGGTGGAACATGTCCCGAATGTCTTGATTGTAGAAAACCAGGATCCCCTCAAAGAGGACAACGTCAGCGGGATAGACCACTGTTGTCTCTGCCAGCCTGCCAGGAAAATAACAGCCAGAGCACGGTGTTAAATGGGTGTCACACCACAGTCAAGCAGCCCGTCCCCAAGCTCAGCTGGGGACATCCACATACTGCCCCAAGACTTCACACAAACCCCAAACCTACCTAGAGTGGGTCACAAAGTCATACGTTGGTACTTCAACTGTTTTCCCCTCAACGATATTTTTCAGGGTTGTATGCATCAAATCATTATCAAAAGCATCTGCAAGAGGAAAGTGTAAAGAGGAAGATGTCCAGACGCTGCTATATGAAATGTTCTGCTCAGATTTTTTTAGACCTGACGGAAAAGCTCTGCCCAGTACTACACTGGGAAAAAAAGGAATTTACAGCTTATTCTTTCCTACCAGCAGCAACCCAGCACTCCCCGCCCAAGCTGTAATTGCTGCACTTGGTTACAGAGATAAGGAAGAGACAATTTGCTGTTTATAAGTAACTACAATAGAATTCAGAACCCAAATGTGAAGCTGGTAATTGGATAATTTTTACCAAACTGCTTCATAATTGTGTAATTTTGTGCAACTCTTCGTCTGTTAGCTAAGAGTCATTTAGAAAACCTCAGACATCTTTAATGCTTTTCAAAGAGCATTAGCCACCCTGGAGAGCCCACAGCAGGCTCCAGACTTCAGCCAAGGGCAGGTCACTGTCCCGTTGGCAATCCATGGGTCCCCTGAGCGAGGGGAGCGGTTGTTCTCGTGGAGGAGAGATATCAGGGGAGGGTCTGGGGAACGATGGAGTGTGCTGCAGAGGCTCTGAAGGATGAGATGGAGCACCACGTGCCGGGATGCTCTCTGCCGAGGTGCACTGAACTGGCTGTCATCAGCACAGCCTTGGTGACACCTGACGTGTTACCCGTGAGACAAACAGACATTTTGGTGGGGAAAGGAGCGTTTCTGTCACCCAACACTTCTCATTTTCTACAAGCCCTTTCCATAAACCCCGACCACTCTCCAGCCGCCATCGCAGCGCCTTGAGGACGTGGAGAGGCCGCGGGGAGCCGTTCATGGGGTGTCATTGTCATTCACGGGGGCTCACCCGGGTGGTCGAAGTTGTACTGTCCCCTCAGCGCCTTGGCCTTCTGCTCGGCGCTCAGCACCTTGTAGAAGCTGTCCTG